AGAGAGAATCATCCACCAGCTGCCTCCTGCACACCCCCCACCGGGGATGTAGCCTGCAACCAAGGCACATGCCCTTGACTGGAATCGAACCCAGGACCCTTCAGTCCGTAGGCCGATGCTCCATCTACTGAGCCACACCGGCCAGGGCACGCAATGCAATCGCGAAAAGCCTTGGTCCTGCGACCAGTCAGCCTGCAACTCCCAGCACGGTGCCCCCCTGGAGCTCCCAGAGGGGAAGAAGCCAGCCCTTCCCAGGCTGTGTCCTCCTCCCGGACCCTGCGCCCCCTCTCCCTGCCTGGCCCTGTGTCGGGGTGTGAGCGCCTCACTCCCATCCTCCCGCACTTAGTGTGTTCCCCACAGTGCACCCCCATTGATGCTCATTCCCTCCAGTGGGAGGAGACCACACGGACACACGAACAGAAATGTCCTAGGACACAGGGTTGGGCACGCAAAGCGTCAGCTCCTGTTGGGTTACTGTCCCACTGGGGCGAGGGCACCGTGGGCTGCAGGGATGGTGGACACACAGCTGGTGTCGTGGACACCGATGGACAGAGGTGGACACGGTGGACAGAGGGCCCACCAGGCCCCAGTGAGTGTCCACTGTGAGCAGGTCAGTGCCCACCGGGCAGAGGGCAGTCCCGTGGCATCTGAGCCTGGTCCCTGGCCCCCGTGCTAGTAGGTACATGTAACGAGAAGGAGGCGCTCTTTCTGGCTGCCTTCCCGGTAGAATCCATCTCATGCTGCTGTCATCTAATCCCACTGTTTATTTTACACAAAATCCCTCCTGAAATAAAACCTGTCAGACCCCATAAGCTTCAGACAGAAATCAAGCAAATTCAGAGCTGACGCGGGGTACCCAGAGGCGCTGAAACCAACGCGGGGAGCGTCGCGTGTGAAGTATGGGCTCCGCGACGTGAGGACGCGCTGGGAAATCACTTATGGGGAAAACGAAGGTGGAGGGATGGGAGCCCCTCGGCTCATCAAAGCTGTCTCCCTGATGACAGGGCTTGCAGCTCGGAGCTCGTTAGGGGGCGAGCTCTCTGCAGGCTCGGGGCCCCTGGGCCCTGTTATCTCCCGCTCCATTTAAAACCCTCTCGTCTCCTCGCAGTGCGCACACGGCACTAATAGTCCCAGAATGTTCCAGGCTTTTTTATGAACCACTCTTTTAAAGGGGCTCATTGGCAATGCTTAAAATACAGTCCCGTGTGGAGCCAATCAAACAGCCTCTATCATTCATAAAGACTGCCATCTCCTTGTGAGTTCCCATGCCCATTTGTTGAGTGGATGGATGGATGGATGGATGGATGGATGGATGGATGAGTGAATAGATGAATAAATGAATGGATGGATGGATGGATGGATGGATGGATGGATGGATGGATGGATGGGATGGATGAATAGATGAATAAATGGATGTATGGATGGATGGATGGATGGATGGATGGATGAATAGATGAATAGATGGATGGATGGATGGATGGATGAATGGCTCGCTGCATGGATGGATGATGGATGATGGATGATGGATGATGGATGATGGCTGATGGATAAATAAATGATGGACGAGTGCTGGTGCCTAAGGGGGTTGCTGTGTACCTAGTGCCATGCTACCCGGCATGGAAACACTGTTGAGTAAAGAAATAGGCAACCACACGGGAAGCACATGACCAGGGCGTTACACAGCAGATAACGGCTCCGTGGCATGTCCGACACACCGCGCCCATTTCCATAGCCACTGGCCTCGGTGCCAGGCACATGCGTGGGCAGGCCGCCTGGCACTGAAGGGCACATGGCCAGGCCTGATGCCAGCCTCACCCCGCCTCACGTCCCAGCCTCAGTTTCCTCCCAGCTCAATGGGATGATCTGTCGGAAGCACAGGGTCCGGTTATGCAGGAGGACAGTTTTGGGGGGAAAGCCCCCCTCCTTCTCTCCAGAGGGAGCAGCACAGGCCGGAAGGGGCCCTCCCTGGCTCGCCGTCCACTGTGCACTCCTGGGGACACCCTGTAATGTCCATTCACCCCTCAAACCTCCCAGGAAATGCACGCTTCCCGCCATGAGGGCGATTCCACACAGGCAGGCGCTTACCTGTTCGGACGTCATGGTTGATGCCTTCGACGGAGATGACAGCGTCCGGGATGCCTTTTCCGTGGGAATCCGTCACCAGGCCTTTGATGCCGCGGTGCACCTGCTCGGCAAACATGACAAGACGCGGTGAGCTCACCGACACCCCCGCCCTCCATCGTGGCACGGTGAGCACGATGACCCCCAGGCCTCCCGGGCCACCAGGAGCCTCACGCAGCCACGCCCAGCTCGAGAGCTCCCGGGCGCCGTGTGGGCCTGGAGTGTCAGCGTCTTTGATTACGGGCTTGCGATGTGGAGCTTGCGAGGCAGCGAGCTCTCTGCAGGCTCTGAGTCTCCCATCGGAGTGAAATCCTTCAGACGTTTAACGTGTTAGGGTTTGAGGGGGTCATAAAAAGAAGCCCACTAGCCCAGGCAGTGTGGCTCAGTGGCTGAGCGTGGGCACATGTACCAAAAGGTTGCCGGTTCGATTCCTGGTCAGGGCACCTGCCGGGTTTCAGGCTCGATCCCCAGCAGGGGATGTGCAGGACGCAGCCAATTGATGTTTCTATCTCTTTCTCCTTCTCCCTTCCTCTCTTTCTATAATCAATAAAGAACATTTATCTTTTAAAAATCCACTAAAGATGGAATTTTGATACACGCATATTTTAATTTTCCTGAGCTCTGTAGATTTAGTATATAGAGAGAAAGGAAGAGCAGACGGCTTCTTCCGCACTGCAGTGGCCAACCGGGACCACGGCGACCAGGTACCATGGAGACCCGGGACCACAGCGACCCGGGACCATGGAGACCCGGGACCACAGTGATCCGGGACCAAGGCGACCAGGGACCATGGAGACCCGGGACCACGGCAACCAGGGACCGCGGCGACCCGGGACCACGGCAACCAGGGACCGCGGCGACCCGGGACCACGGCAACCAGGGACCGCGGCGACCCGGGACCACGGCAACCAGGGACCGCGGCGACCCGGGACCACGGCAACCAGGGACCGCGGCGACCCGGGACCACGGCAACCAGGGACCGCGGCGACCCGGGACCACGGCAACCAGGGACCGCGGCGACCCGGGACCACGGCAACCAGGGACCGCGGCGACCCGGGACCACGGCAACCAGGGACCGCGGCGACCCGGGACCACGGCAACCAGGGACCGCGGCGACCCGGGACCACAGCGACCCGGGACCATGGAGACCCAGGACCACGGCGATCCGCGACCAAGGCGACGAGGGACCATGGAGACCCAGGACCATGGAGACCCGGGACCACGGCGACCCGGGACCACAGCAACCAGGGACCACAGTGACCCGGCGACCAGGGACCATGGAGACCCGGGACCACGGTGACCGGGGACCATGGAGACCCGGGACCATGGAGACCCAGGACCACAGTGATCCGGGACCAAGGCGACCAGGGACCATGGAGTCTCAGGACCACTGTGACCCGGGACCACGGCGACCCGGGACCACAGCAACCAGCGACCACAGTGACCCGGGACCATGGAGACCCAGGACTACGGTGATCCGCGACTAAGGCGACCAGGGACCATGGAGTCTCAGGACCACTGTGACCCGGGACCACGGCGACCCGGGACCACAGCAACCAGCGACCACAGTGACCCGGGACCATGGAGACCCAGGACTACGGTGATCCGCGACTAAGGCGACCAGGGACCATGGAGTCTCAGGACCACTGTGACCCGGGACCACGGCGACCCGGGACCACAGCAACCAGCGACCACAGTGACCCGGGACCATGGAGACCCAGGACCACGGCGATCCGGGACCAAGGCAACCAGGGACCATGGAGACCCAGGACCATGGCGACCTGGGACCACGGCAACCAGGGACCACGGCGACCAGGGACCATGGAGACCCAGGACTACGGTGATCCGGGACTAAGGCGACCAGGGACCATGGAGACCCAGGACCACGGTGACCCGGGACCACGGCGACCCGGGACCACGGCGACCTGGGATATGGCCACGGTCCAAAGCACTAATTCGGTCTCACTGTCAGCCTCGCTCCTTAGCCCCCGCCGCGGCAGCGCGGGCCCACGCCGTACCTGCTCCATGAATACGATCAAGGACTCCCGGTTGTTCTCCCACTCCTCAGGCAGCTCGCTCTCATGCGGGAACTTGTCGCAGCCCACGTAGATGGACAGCTCGAAGCAGTTCGTGTGGAGGTAGCTGAAGTCGTTGAGACCTGCCAAGCCAACCGCAGACAGGAAGCTGAGCCGGGCGCAGCGGGGCACCAGTCACAGCGGGGACGTGCCTGAGGGCCGGCACGTGAACTGGGTGTCGGGCAGCTACTGAGACAAAACATTCGTTAGAGCAAGTGCGGGGAGGGGCTGGGTGGAGGGAGGGGAGGACCCCGCGGACGGGTTTGTGGGGAGACCGGCCCCTGAGTGCGCAGGGTACTGCTGTGTGACCCCGACAGCCCTTCCCGCGCCACCAGCCCTGGCGGGGACGGCGACACACGGCTCTGGACCTGGAACCCCACTACTGTCACGGGCTTCCACATGGACCCGGAGCTGCCTGCACGGTGGGAGGGCACGGAGCAGAGGGGGCCGACACCGCCGTGGGGGACGCACAGGCGGTGCATTTGGAGGTGCACAGGCCGCTCTCTGCTCAGGAAGAGGCGAGGAGGCGGAGGAGGAGGCAGGGAAATTAGAAATCACATCTCATTAACCCACCGAGAAATGACTGCAGCCCTGTCAGTCACACTGCCAGGCGGGGGTGCTTACGGAGGCTCGAGCCCCCGCAAGGCTCTGCCGCCAAGTCCCTGAAATAATGGGAAACGTAACTAATGGGAAAAATCAGCCGCTGCCGATGAGGACGTGTGGCAGGCGGCTGCTCCGAGCGCTACTGCTGACCCCACCGAAGGATTGTGGCGCCTCCCTTTGTCTAGGCCCGTGGTGGCGAACCTATGACACGCGTGTCAGAGGTGACGCGCGAACTCATTTTTTTGGTTGATTTTTCTTTGTTAAATGGCATTTAAATAGATAAAATAAATATCAAAAATATAAGTCTTTGTTTGACTATGGCTGCAAATATCAAAAAATTTCTATATGTGACACGGCACCAGAGTTAAGTTAGGGTTTTTCAAAATGCTGACACGCCGAGCTCAAAAGGTTCGCCATCACTGGTTTAGGGGAATCCTCCTAGGACATGTGCTGTCGGCCACCTGGACAGCTCATACCCTCTCCCGCCCCACCCTGTGTGCTGTGGGGAGTTCAGTAATGGCCTGGCCAATGCTGTTTCTTTCCTGTGAAGATAAATCAGGGGCATGTTTCTTACCCTGATGATTCCTGAGAGGAAGGGAGAGGGAGGGAGAGGGAAACATCAATGATGAGAGAGAGCCACGGATCGCTGCCTCCTGCACACCCCTCACTGGGGATCAAGCCTGTAGCCCCGGCCTGTGCCCTGACCGGGAATTGAACTGTGACCTCGGTTCATGAGTCACTGGGCCACGCTGGCCGGGCTGGGTTTGCTCTTGGGGCCAATATTTCCCCAAGTCTCCCCCTACCATCTCTGACCCCACACAATGGAGACACTCAGTGGCTGAGAGCAGACCACGGAGTCCAACAGCCCAGCTCCGCCCCTTCCCGTGTCCGAGCCCCAGCTCTCTCATCAGCTTCTCCACTTCGCCCTTTTGCACGTCACGTTGGCGCTTTGCAAAAGGGTGGATTTGAAGTGGAGAACCTGTGAAGTGGGAGCAAGCCCGCCCCTCCGAGACTGGGACGCTGCAGGCTGGGACCTGGACCTCCGGGAGCTGTAGTGTCAGGGCAGCGACACTGCAGACAGGACGGAGGACTCACTTCCGGCCACGGTGTGCCAGGAGGCCCCATTGACGGTGCCGTCCTCCTTCTGGAAGTCCTCGGTGTGGCACACCCGCCGGCGGGCGTCGGTCATGAGGCGGTGGGTGGAGGCGTAGGCGTAGGCCAGCCAGCGGAACACGTGGTCGTCGGGCGTGGGCGTGCGCTCCTGTGTCTTCCAGGGGGACCGGGCCATGTCGTAGGGGTAGGCCACCACCAGCTCGCCGCCCTGCAGGTTGCCGCCCAGCACGAAGGGGACCTTCTCCATCCAGGCGATGACCGCCCTGGTCTCCGCCGCCACCTGCAAGCACCCACGCCGGGGACCACGTGAGGAGGAGGCCCGCGCCCCGACGCCCCAACAGGGACTTGGCGGGAAAGCAGCCGTTGTATGGAGTCTCTGAGCCCAGCTTAGAATTTCTAAATCTGTCCCGAAAACACTGGGCTTCGTAGAAAAAATGGATTTAAAAAAGAGAAACCTGCCTGGCCATGTGGCTCAGGGGCTGAGCGTCAACCTATGAACCAGGAGGTCAGGGTTCGATTCCTGGTCAGGGCACAGGCCCGGGCTGGGTGCTGGATCCCCAGTGGTGGTGGTGGGGGGGTGTGCAGGAGGCAGCCGATCCATCATTCTCTCTCATCAATAATGTTTCATCTCTCTCCTTCTCCCTTCCTCTCTTTGACATCAATAAAAATGTTAAAAAAAATAAATAAATGACTTAAAAGGTCGTAAACCGACCTAAATGAATGCACTTTATTTGGGTCCTGATTTAAACAAGATGAGAGAGTAATATAGTGAAATGTGAAGATGGCTGGACATTTTATAACATTAGGAACCCTTTATTTGTAGGCGATAATGGCAATGGCTTCCTGTCTGAAACGGGAGTCCCATCTTGCAGATACAATGTTCACATGAGACGCTGCTGGGCCTTCGGGCCGTGGTCCTGCCCGGCTTTAGTGCGCACCCCCCGCCCCCCGCGAGGGGTCCGTGCAGCTGAGGGCCGGCTCAGTGGCAGCCGCAGAAAAGAACAAATAACGGAGGCGTGTTTTTCCTGTTGTGTTTTTTCTGTGTTCTTGTAAAGAAATATAATTAAATGATTTTTATAAAGAATCTCCTCAAATATCCATTTGAAGGTGTTTTATTATCTAGCTCGTCCTACTCTGAGAGAAAACGTGTACGAGAAGAAAATGTAAGAGAAGACTCTGTCTCCTTAAATGTCACATCCTCTGCCCATGCGCTGGGTGTTC